GCTGGGTAACTCCAGACTCCCTCTGCATGACTCTATGGCCGCTCAGAGGAGTACCAACAGGCTTCTATCACTACGCTGCTGAACGGAACGTTTCAAGAGATCCTTGGTTCCTGTCAGACTGTACAACAAACTTGGATGAGTCTTCTGCTGCTGGACACATGAATCTCTCCTATGGGGATCAATAAAATATCTGTTTATCTAAAGGATTGACATTCTTAGGTAAAAATCCTATTGTGTGTTAAAACATAATGTATTACTTTTTTTTAGATACTGTTATTGTCATTATATTTTCACTCCATACACTGGTGATAAACAACAATTGTGGCCACAGCTGCCCTGGGGCAGACCGACAAAAGAAAACAACCCAGACTCATTCTAATGTGGATGAAGTGTCTTGCCTTAGGACACAACAACTGTGGCACCTGGTGTTCAGAGAGGTCTCCCATCACAAACTAACCAGGCCCTGCCCTGCTTAGCTTAGCTACATTGGTCTGTCAGGATTTGGCTTTCACCTGCAGGTATGGCCACAATAAAACAAATGCTTCAATAACACAACAATTGTTCTTTGTGAAGCAGAGAAGCAGCAGCAGTCATAGACCAGTGGGACTTTCACAGATGATAAAAGGTAAACGTATAACTGCTCAAATCAAGTGTTTTATTTTTGTATCCTAATTGACGTACTTTTTGACTATTAAAAAAAGATTTCCATTGATTTCATATATTTTTTTAAAACAAGATCATTTTGCTTTGTCACATTGGCAAATCTAGTTTTACGGCAGTGGGAATATGCTCAAATTGAGAATTATTTTCCAAAATGTAAATTTTTTTTCAACTTATTTTTTATCTATTTTTGCAGTGTTTGTGCTAATGCCGGACTCTTATCAAATAGTACCAGTGTTGTTTATTTATTTTTAATTTTTTTGCCCTTTTTTTAGGTACGAGTCGAAACAAAATGGACCAATTATTATTATTGAAACACAGCTTTTGTCAACATGCCTTGTCCCACGGTGGCGGCACGGCGGCTGAGTGGATAGCACTCTTGCCTCTCAGCAAGAAGGTCCTGGGTTCGAATCCCGGCCGGACCAGGGCCTTTCTGAGTGGAGTTTGCATGTTCTCCCTGTGTCTGCGTAGGTTTCCCCTACCACTAAAAATATGTACAATAGGTCTGGCATGCGCCTCCTGTTCGGCGACCCCGCTCCCATCTCTGTGTGGAGTGAGAGACAAGTGCCCAAAAAATAACAATTGTAAACCGCTTTGTGACTCTGGTCTGTGAAAGGCGGTATATAAATAAAGCTTACTTACTACTTACTTACTTACCTGCCGTTAACATTTTCGGGTCAATAGTGAACGCACACAGCTCTTTGGCGAAGTTCGATTGGAGCACGGTCCATCAAGCTAAATGACGTACTTTAGCTGTCCGCACCAGCGAGAGTTAGCTTTCTGCTGCAGCTCTATTGATCCAGTGGTGATGGACAGAAAGTTACGTCCGACGCCAACGCACTCAAATGGGACGACTTCAAAAACTCATCCCTCGACAAGCGCGGCGGGGCGTCTGCCGGAAACATCTTCTCAATAAAACGTTGATATTTTTGGACGCGACTCGGTTTTGCTGTCATTAAAGTCGGAGCCAAAAAGAAGCATTCTTGGATAAAAAACGGGAGAAGCGAGTCTTGCCAAAAGCCGAGAATCTCACCGAGGCTGTGAGATGTAACGTTAGCAGCAGGGATCTCGGTCCGATTTGAGAGTCTGATGCAACACATGCTGGAGACTGGCCTTTGTACGACTGCTTTTCAAATGGTTTATTCACTGCTTTCTATAAGATGGAGAAGCTGTTTATTTTTTATTAGTTTTTCCACTACCGAAAGGGCAGTGGTGAGGATAAAGGACACTCTGTATTCAACTTTGGACATTTATCTACATTCATGGACATTGGTCAACTGCCCCTTATGGACACGCTGCCCTCTCACTACAGTCTGCTCCCATCAGGGCGTAGGTTCAGGTCCCTCCCATTCAAAACCAAAAGGGTCACATCCAGCTTCCTCCCCACCTCGATTTGCCTTTTAAACAGCTCACCCGAGACCTGTTTTATGTATTATATGTTGAATTTCTGCTCTTTTACTGTATTTAAACTTGGATCGTGTGTTTTTGTGTACCCCCACCGGTGCTCTGTAAGTAAGTAAGTAAGTAAGTAAGCTTTTATTTATATACCGCCTTTTCACTGCACATCGGAGTCTCAAAGCGGTTTACAATTGTTGGGTGGGGGGGGCCAGTACAGGAGGCACATGCCAGACCTATTGTACATATTTTTAGCGGTAGGGGAAACCGGAGCACCCGGAGGAAACCTACGCAGACACGGGGAGAACATGCAAACTCCACTCAGAAAGGCCCTGGTCCAACCGGGATTCGAACCCAGGACCTTCTTGCTGAGAGGCGAGAGTGCTATCCACTCAGCCACCGTGTAAATGTCCGTGTAATTTTATCATTGCATTTCTTGTGTTGGATTCTCTGCTCTGTGTTGGCGAAATCACTGGTTCTGTAAAGTCCTGTGAGATAACTACTGTTGTGACGTAGGGCGATACAAGAATATATTGAATTGCGTTAAAGTGAGTAGACAAACTTCTCCTATGGGATTCAATGAAGTAAATTGTTTTTTCTACCAACTCCGACTCTGAGGAGCACAGGGACTGGCCTCCTGCTGGTGCTCAGAGTCAACACAAAACATGGGGATGCAGCATTTCAGAACAGTCTGTCAATAGGCAAGAGGCTTATTCTCTGACCATGTCCAAATCCAGGTTAAAAACAGTTCTGGTTAGCTGTGCATACAACTGAGGGATTTTATCTTCAGTCTGTTTTACGCTTCGATAATAGACAGATTTTACTTCATTTGTAAATGTTTGCTTGATACAAAACAAATGACCCCAAGTGGCACAATAAAGATAACTTAGCTCTTTCATAGATAATCATTGTAAGAGGCTGAAGTATGTTTTGTGTTCTTTCGTTGCAAAATGTGCCACTGTTCCACTCACGGTCATCCCCTGAGTCTATTTGATCTCAATCACGCTAAAACAATCTGAAGTAGTCGCGCTGAACACCGTCAGATCCATGTAGAAGTGCTGAATTCTCCATTGAGTGTGATTTCTCAGATTGTACTGCGGTATGTGAGGAGAGACTTTTTAGCCTGTGGTACTGGGGATTGAAGAGAGTAGCCTCAGAAACCGGAAGGCTCTGGTTCTCTCTCTGGTTCTGACGGCGAGCAGGACAGGACCAAATAAGCCCTGGACCTGGAGTGGGTGTCGAGGTGCAGTAATATATAAATATAAATGAGGAGAAATGTACTATTATCAATTATCATTATCGGTTCAGGATGTGCACTGGTCCTGGATTCAGATTCAGATTCATTTAATTGCCATTTGCAGTAAAACCACATTGGAATACATTAGCAAAAGTCCCCAGTGTGCACAAGAAAAGTACAGACATAAAATAACATTAAAAGTACAGAAATAAACCAATAAAAAAGTTAACAATTGTCGCTATAAAATCGACCGAGTGCAAATCATTAAAGTGTTCTGTTCACACTGATAACAGCTTGTGGATAAAAACTGTTAGCGTAACGAGATGTCCTGCATCTCAGAGAGCGATATCTTCTGCCAGAGGGAAGAAGCTGGAACATGGGGTGGCCAGAAGAGTCATTAACAATCCTAAGAGCTTTGTTTAAAAGTGTGGATTTATAAAGAACCTCCAGAACAGGAAGCTCACAGCCCACGGTCCTCTTTGCAGAGCGGAGCACCTTGTTTAAAGATCTCTTTTCTTTATCTGTGATGTTTCCAAACCACACAGACACAGAACCAACAAGTAAACTCTCAATGGTGCAGCCATAAAAGTTAAGCACAATCTTAGAGTTAGTGGTAAATTCTCTAAGTTTACGCAGAAAGTAGAGACGCTGACGAGCTTTCTTAACGACTCGGTCAGTGTTTTTAACCCATTTCAGGTTAGACAGAGTTAAACCCAGAAACTTTCACTCCTCTACGATCTGCACCTGGGAGTTGTCGATTGCGACGGGCAAATGAGAACTATTGCGACTGAAGTCAAAGTTCACATGTTTTCGATGCGTTCAGCTGGAGGTTGTTAGCTTTACTCCACTGAACCACATTTTGAATCTCTGCTCTGTCAGAGGTTTGCTTTTTCTTACCGTGCGGATTCACAGAAAGCAGTAGTCTCACATATATGCATATACATTTATCTAAGTTGTAAATATCATTCTATACTTGCACTATTGTTCTGACAGTAATGACAATAAAGTTGGATCAAATCAAATGTGTGCCTTGTATCTATTTTTACGTTCATAACTTGTTGACTTACCTCGATGAATTAACTTAGAAGCAATGCGGACCACAATTAAATTATAAACACGTCAATCTATTCGTAAAGGTTAGCCAAGCGTGGCAATCCACAAGTTAATAAACTAGAAGCATGGCTAACTACATTCTGCAAAACAACCAACCCTCTCTTTTTAAATGTAAGGAGTACAAAAAGTTTTAAAACATATAAAATTATATCTTTTAAAATGGATTCATAATACTTCAGAGCAGACCTCACAGCTAATTCAGTGCTAATTAATGTAGCCTAGCCTTAACCCCAGCCCTAACCCTAACCTTAACACACACATTCTCCGGAACATAACGAGACACATTTGAAAATATTGGGTTTAGAGAATAAATCTACTCGGTCTGATGCTAAAGAATCTCAAGACAAAGATTCTGGATGATTCAATTAGGGACGATTTGCGATTCTTTTTGGGAGACGACACTGAGTGAGATAACCCTAACCCATTGATTGAATGGTTCTAAGTGTTTCTGAATGAACAATACAACAATCTTATATTTTTCCTAACCCACATGGGAAAGTGTATTAATCTTCTTGTATTTCTAGTTTGATCATTTAGAAGCGTTCACGTATGGCCTCTCATCTTCCAAGTGGATCATCTGTGTGTTTTTTCATCCTTATAAAACTCCCTTCCGGCGGTGGATGGCCTGGCTCTGCTTTTGACTGCGATCCATGGCTCCGCTGCCCACGTGAGAGCTCTCTGCCAAAGCACTGGGCCGATGACCATCTCCTGCTTGGGCTCGCGTCCAACAAGCCGTACCAGAGAAGTCCAGGCGGCCTCCGAGACTGCCGCTGCCAATATGCACGGTTCAGGAGAGGTACCTCGGCGTCATCAGAACGCACATTTGATTTATGTGGATTTCTTTTCCCGTCTGAATAAGAAAAAGATTCAATTGGATGAACTTCTTGCGGTTTGGCAGCGGTGGAACAAAGCTACAAGCCAAAATGTTCTCTCGCCAACTTTGCATAAGAGCCCGACTTTCACAAATAATGCAACTCCGTACAGTATGTAAACCGATTCATGCTTAAAGGAATCCATAGAACTAGTCCCTAATGCTCAAAACCATGTGGGTCTATTAGAATCAAACAAACACGCTTGTTGAGCCCAGAGCGTCAAATAGTAACTCACAGAGCTCCTTCTTTGTAAGTAAATTGGCAAAAGATGAAGACAGCATGGTGTGGTCCGATTTTGTTCGCAATATTTCAAGAGAATCTGATGTTCGCACGCTCATTCAGCAGGCGAAGCTAGAAGAGCGGATCCCTGGAACAACCTCGGACATCTCGGTCCAGAAATGTGCAGTGCTAGGAACAGCAAAGATAGAGCGCAGAACCGTTTCGGGCTGATGACACGTTACTACGTGGTCTGTAAATAAAAGACACTGATTGGGGGCAACATAGCTGTGCGGATTTTTCATTGTTTTCACGAGAGCACTATAAGAAATATATTTATGCAGTTTATGAGTTTAAAAAGTTGATTTGGTGTTTAGTTTAAGGATATTACACAGACACATGACACATGAGATCAGGTTGGCAGGGTTCATTAGTCCTCATTGTTTGTTGTACTTTCTGACAGCAGCGGCAAGGAAAGACCTGTGGAACATCTCCTTCACACAGCGAGGGTGAATACGTCTGTCACTGAAGCTGCTCTCCAGAGCAGAGAGAGTGTCCTGCAGGGGGTGACAGTCATGGTCCAGCATAGATGTTAGTTTGCTCAGGACTCTCCTGTCCCCCACCTGCTGCACTGTGTCCAGGGAACAGCCCAGGACAGAGCTGGACTTTCTGATGTTCCAGCTTCTTCCTGTCCCTCTCTGTTATACTGCTGCTTCAGCAGACCACACCGTACAAGAGGCTGATGCCACCACAGAGTCATAGAAGGTCTTCAGGAGTGGCCCCTGCACTCCAAAAGACCTGAGCCTCCTCAGCAGGTAGAGCCTCCTCAGCAGGTAGAGCCTCCTCAGCAGGTAGAGCCTCCTCAGCAGGTAGAGCCTCCGCAGCAGGTAGAGCCTCCTCAGCAGGTAGGGTCGGCTCTGGCCCTTCTTGAAGAGGGCGTCTGTGTTATAATTCAATATTTGCATCAGTAGACTGGTGTTAAACATTGAACAGTATTTAACACAGCAATTACACAATCTGGAAATTGAGCAAGCCATTAAAATTGAATGAACACAGTCAGATTCAGAAGCCGCCTCAACATTTCTCCTCTCTCGTCTTTGCCGATTCTCACAAATGTGATATTATTATTCACAGTGAGTCATAACTCCTTCTATCCTTACAAAACGCAGAAGAAGTCGAAGCCATCTAATCATGTATAAATGCCGTCTGAATTATTTTTTGCAGACAGCATTGTCAGCAGATCAAAAGCACAAGACTTGGGGGCTTGGGGACGTCCTGTGGCTTCAGTCCCACATTAAAACACATGCAAGGTCACTCACCATATGCCAGATATTATTTAGTACATATATTAAAAAAACATTTCTTTCCTACGGCTATTTCCTCTCCAATGCTGCCAGCAAAAGGCTTGCAAAGTAATATGGGAATGAGATGAAGAATTAAAGCAATGAAGAATTTCCAAATCAACAATATCTAGTTTTTAGCATATCAAAAGGAGTTTTTGGAGAACTTAGCTTTGGGTCTTTGTGTGTGTTTTGTTTTTGTATGTCTTATACCATCGGTGGTAGTAATGTCTTTCTGTTTGAACTGTACAGTTGTTTGTTTGAGAATTCAAACAGAGTATGTCTGACGGGGGTTGGAATCCAACCCTAGCCTGGTCGTACCACACCATAGTACAAATGACATTTCGTACAAAGGTCTGGAGGCGCTCCATTGCGCTCCGTTAACAGGGTTTACAGGTGGGAGGGGTTAACTACTTTTGCAGATTGAAAAAATTGGATCTTAGTTTACCGTCACGTATGTAATGCGCCCGAGTGAGTCGTTAGCATTTAGCCTAGCCAGGGAGTAGGGCGTGCCCATTTAGCGCAAACTCTTGACGTCACCCACATCTAACTACAACACCCGCCTCCCGCGCTCTCTGATTGGTCGGATGGAATTCAACCGATTGTAATCGCAAACACAGGGACCAGACCCAGACGTTACATGGAAGGAAATGATAAATGATTGTGTACGGATGGCTAAGGCCAAGCTATTCCAACCCCTTTATCGAACCAGGTACAAGTATTTGTCTTTCATATTGATGTATGTAAAAAGGTATTGTACTGTATTATATTACATACATAAGTATTTAAGATAAAATGGGGATGGAATAGTGGCGGGGCGACAGTAGCACAGTTGGTAGAGGATTGGCCTTTGAGCCTGAAAGTCGAGGGTTCGAGCCCGACTTTCTCCACCAACTCCCACTGATGTCTGCTGTTGTTGTGTTCATAGGCAAGACACTTAACCTCTGGGAACACCTACTGCCGCAGTGCGGCAGCTGCGGCTGTAAAGTACCAAACTACCGTTGTGTCCTTAGGCAAAACACTTCACCCACATTGCCTAGAATGAGTCTGGTGTGTGTGTGAATGGTTGGTGGTGGTCGGAGGGGCCGATGGCACAGACGGGTTGTCTCGCTTCTGTCAGTGTGCCCCAGGGCAGCTGTGGCTACAGTAGTAGTTTATCACCACCGTGTCTGGAGTGAATGAATAATGACATGTGAAGCGTCTTTGAGAGTCCAAAGTAGCGCTGTTAAAACCGATGCATTATTATTATTATGATGATGATGGCAGTAAAGGTAAAGGTGCCTCGATGGTTGTGGTCGTGTTGCTGTATTAAAATGCTATCTAGTTAACACAAAATTCAGCTTAGGACATAGCATTGTCAACTATACATTGAACTTGGTGATGCAAAATAAAAAAGCAGTCCCCCCAATCCGACTCCTGAATTGATTCTTCATTGATCACTGTTGGAGAAAGGCAAGTGTCAAGAAACACATCCATCCATCCAAAACACAGTAAATACCTGAATTGAAAAAGTTGCAAGCAATAGTCAATAAACTGTAGGTCACAGCAGCAGAGGTGGCTCAAAAGGCCACATACAAGCTCAGACGCTACAGGATAAAACGGCAAAAAGCAGAGACTTCTGACCAAAGCCGAAAAGTTTAGATGCTAAGACTTCTTTCTGGCCGAAAAACTTGTCGTAGGAATTTCAACTTTATGCCACACAACAAGAAACCACCAGGTACATTGCAGAATATATAGTGTGTACTTTAATAACTGTTATTTGCAGTTCTAGTGGTGTCTTCGCACAAACATTGCACAGTTTAAGAGATCAAATATCACCCGATGGCTAATGGATGTTCCAGAGTAAAAAAAACGTTATAACCACTTTGCTTTCAGAGTTTGTGTGGTCATGACAGGCACAAGCAATAGATAGATACTTTATTGATCCAGGTGTCCAGAAGCAGCTCCGGCCACGGTAGCAGAGGTGGAGAAGCATCTGGGTGGAGCAGGACAGGTCACGGCAGCAGAGATGGAGTAGCCTCTGGGTGGAGCAGGACGGGTCACAGCAGCAGAGGTGGAGTAGCCTCTGGGTGGAGCAGGACAGGTCACAGCAGCAGAGGTGGAGTAGCCTCTGGGTGGAGCAGGACAGGTCACAGCAGCAGAGATGGAGTAGCCTCTGGGTGGGGCAGGACAGGTCACAGGCAGCAGAGGTGGAGTAGCCTCTGGGTGGAGCAGGACGGGTCACAGCAGCAGAGGTGGAGTAGCCTCTGGGTGGAGCAGGACGGGTCACAGCAGCAGAGGTGGAGTAGCCTCTGGGTGGGGCAGCACAGGTCACAGCAGCAGAGGTGGAGTAGCCTCTGGGTGGAGCAGGACGGGTCACAACAGCAGAGGTGGAGTAGCCTCTGGGTGGAGCAGGACGGGTCACAGCAGCAGAGGTGGAGTAGCCTCTGGGTGGAGCAGGACGGGTCACAGCAGCAGAGGTGGAGTAGCCTCTGGGTGGAGCAGGACGGGTCACAGCAGCAGAGGTGGAGTAGCCTCTGGGTGGGGCAGCACAGGTCACAGCAGCAGAGGTGGAGTAGCCTCTGGGTGGAGCAGGACGGGTCACAACAGCAGAGGTGGAGTAGCCTCTGGGTGGAGCAGGACGGGTCACAGCAGCAGAGGTGGAGTAGCCTCTGGGTGGAGCAGGACAGGTCACAGCAGCAGAGGTGGAGTAGCCTCTGGGTGGAGCAGGACAGGTCACAGCAGCAGAGATGGAGTAGCCTCTGGGTGGGGCAGGACAGGTCACAGCAGCAGAGGTGGAGTAGCCTCTGGGTGGAGCAGGACGGGTCACAGCAGCAGAGGTGGAGTAGCCTCTGGGTGGAGCAGGACGGGTCACAGCAGCAGAGGTGGAGTAGCCTCTGGGTGGGGCAGCACAGGTCACAGCAGCAGAGGTGGAGTAGCCTCTGGGTGGAGCAGGACGGGTCACAACAGCAGAGGTGGAGTAGCCTCTGGGTGGAGCAGGACGGGTCACAGCAGCAGAGGTGGAGTAGCCTCTGGGTGGAGCAGGACGGGTCACAGCAGCAGAGGTGGAGTAGCCTCTGGGTGGAGCAGGACGGGTCACAGCAGCAGAGGTGGAGTAGCCTCTGGGTGGGGCAGCACAGGTCACAGCAGCAGAGGTGGAGTAGCCTCTGGGTGGAGCAGGACGGGTCACAACAGCAGAGGTGGAGTAGCCTCTGGGTGGAGCAGGACGGGTCACAGCAGCAGAGGTGGAGTAGCCTCTGGGTGGAGCAGGACGGGTCACGGCAGCAGAGGTGGAGTAGCCTCTGGGTGGAGCAGGACGGGTCACAGCAGCAGAGGTGGAGTAGCCTCTGGATAGAGCAGGACAGGTCATAGCAGCAGAGGTGGAGTAGCCTCTGGGTGGAGCAGGACGGGTCACAGCAGTAGAGGTGGAGTAGCCTCTGGGTGGAGCAGGACGGGTCACAGCAGCAGAGGTGGAGTAGCCTCTGGGTGGAGCAGGACGGGTCATAAGGTGGAGTTGCCTCTTGGTTCGGACCTTTTCCCTGCTCTTGTCCAAAGTAAAATGTTCAAAGCTTCATTAGCATGTTTTACAAAAAGTTAGCATTCCTCCAGTGGATTTTCACCTGATCTACTTGGTTCGGACCATGAATCCTCTCCGCTCTGGTCTGGACCAGTGTAAAACCATGAAGAGCAAGTCGGCATTAACATTGTACCATCAGATCACTATCACTATCAGTGTCGTACAGTGAGATTTGGAGATGCTAACAGCCCTAGAACCAATTTTCACGGACATTTATTTCTCCATCTGCAAATTTCTTTAACCAAAAAAAATCCCACTGAGATGTATTTTTCAAGTTAACCCTGGTCCCAGACGGCGGCAGGAGTGAGTATAGGGTTGGAAAGGGCGTCACAGCGCACAATTGTACACATAGTTTAGTAATAATGCACTTAATTGCTTCTGATAACTTTTCTGTTAACCCGGTTTCCGTTGCGACCGCTTCAGTTGCTGATCTATCGGAACGCGAGCTTCCCACGGAGCTGCAAATATACTAATCAGATTGCTACGATGGGACCTAATTACTGATTTATAATTGGCCTGTATTGGGAAGTGGAATATCCGACTTTCTACAGAGAACGTGGCGATAAGTGCAAATGCCCGAGCTCTCCGGGACGAGATCCTCACACTCACAATAGATAATGGAGTTAATGTGTATGCTTTCATGGCACCTCCGAGCTGAGATTCAATTATATTTTCTCATTAATAGATAATTACTGTCTTTCACTGTTAATACTCAGTCATTCTGCCTGCTCATAATTTGGCCTCTATTCAAAAATATGCTTCGAGTAGTTTGGCAGCTTCAGGTTGCACAGTGCAAATCAAACTTTTTTGGTTTTCTGTATCTGTCAAAATAAACAAACGCTAATCTCCCACATGCTCTCAGCTCTACGCTTGAATTATTGTGTTTTCATCCGAGATACTTTGCTTCTTGTCATCCGTAACTCACTGCTACAACTGCAGAGCTGAATTTCCATGTTTTTATGACTTGACAGGTGTAATCAGAGACCTGAGAGTACGTTTTTCAAAATAATGTGACAATGTTTCAGAGAGGGTTTGGATTGTGTTTCTATGACTCGAGCTGTTTTCACAC